TTCATCATAAAATTATCACCCTTTTGCGATTGAGAGACAATGATTTCATCATGAAATACGGGAATGAAACCAATAATTTGACATTAAACAGCTGGTAGACGAAAATGTAAGGCATTAAATGCCAGAGAAGGGGTCCGGTTGGCTTCGAAATTTACATTTTTTGCTTTTTGAACCGTTTGCTTAACAAATCCAATTTGTTGTCTGTTTGGCCTCACGAAGTTGTCTCTGAAGGCCTCGTTTGATGTTCGATGTTTGAACAACCCTAAAAAATCTCAAAATTATTAATTTTAAGGGTAGGGTCCGTTTTAAGGACATACTCCAACAGAACGATGAATACTTTAATAGAAGAGATTTTAAGGTCACAATCTTAATTTTTATACCCTCCACCATACTATGGAGGGTATATTAACTTTGTCATTCCGTTTGTAACTCCTCGAAATACTCATATCAGACCCAACAAAGTATATATATTCTTGATCAGCGTAAAATTCTAAGTCGATTTAGCGATGTCCGTCTGTCTGTCTGTCTGTCCGTCTGTCTGTCTGTCTGTCTGTCTGTCTGTCTGTCTGTCTGTCCGTCTGTCTGTCTGTTGTAATCACGCTATCTTTCGAATGAATTGAGATAGGTGGCTAAAATTTTGCACACATGTTTATTTTTCCAGTAGGCAGGTTAAGTTCGTAAATGGGCCATGTAGGTCCACGTTTTCATATAGCCCCCATATAACGGTACCTCCCTATATTCGGTATTTTGATGATTTTAGCGACATTATTCACGGGAATTGTTTCAAATTTGGTATTTGAAGTTCAAAATGGATACTACATTCTAAGGCGGAAAATTATCCGTGCAGGTCCACGTCTTCGTATAGCCCCCATATAACGGTACCTCTCTATATTCGGTATTTTGATGATTTTAGCGACATTATTCACCGGAATTGTTTTAAAATTGGTATTTGAAGTTCGTTATGGGAACTAAAGTCTGTGACAGAAAATTGTCTGTGCGGGTCCAGGTCTTCGTATAGCCTCCATATAACGGTACCTCCCTATATTCGGTATTTTGATGATTTTAGCTACATTGTTCACCGTTTATTTCAAGTTTCGAATTTGAATATGGTAATGGCTTATGACCAACAATGCCTATGCATGTCCACGTCGTATAGACCCCAAAATAACGGCTATATTCGGTATTTTTAAAATTTTAACAGAATTTTTTAAGGATTTTATTTTTTGAAAATTTCCAAATTCGTTGCAAATGGTGGAGGGTATTAAAAGTTCGGCCCGGCCGAACTTACTGCTTTTTAACTTGTTTTAATTAACCTTTCCATCCCAATCATGAGGATTTTTCGGACTACGATCAAAGGTTTTTATGAGAGCCACAATCGAGTTGTTTTAAAGGGACTTTATTACAATTTTGAATTTTATAAGTAGACGTTTAGGGAAAACGTGAGGTTTTTTAATGAGCATCAAACTTCATGATCAAAAATGCCTGACTTTTAAGAGAATCTTTAAGACCTGAATCTTTGTGGAGTTTTTAAGCAAACTTTAAGGAACATGATCTCGAAATGTTTCAAATTAGCTGTAAAGCGGCAAATGTGAAATTTTAATTTTAAGAAGAAATTTAAAAACGCTTTAAATCTACAATCCTAGGATTTTTGTAAGGGTCTTTAAGTTTACTTTCGTGGAGTTTTTTTAGTAAGTCCTAAGGGTCTAAGATTTTAAGCAAATCTCAGGCAGCATAATTTTGAAGTTTTTAAAATGAGCTTTGGAGCCATAATCGTGACATTTTTATGAGGACCTTTATTTTTAGGAGGATCTTCAGGACTGAAGTTTTTTGGGCAAACCTTTTAAAATAATCTTTTTATACCCTCCACAATAGTATCTAGGGTATATTAATTTTGTCATTCCGTTTGTAACACATCAAAATATACATTTTAGACCCCACAAAGTATCAGCATAAAATTCTATGTCGATTTAGCGATGCCCGACTTTATTCGATGCGACTTTATTCACCGGAAATGTTTAAAATTTGGTATTTGAAGTTCGTAATGGGTACTACAGCCTATGACAGAAAATTATCTGTGCAGATCCAAGTCTTCGTATAGCCCCTATGTAACGGTACCTCCCTTTTCTCGGTATTTGGTGATTTTAGCGACATTATTCACCGAAATTGTTTCATATATGGTATTTGAAGAATAGCCAATATTCTTCAAACTTCGATCCTCTTAATAAGTTCTGCAAAAACCATTTTGTAGGGAAATTATGAGTGGTAACAGCACCATTTTGCAGTAAACAATTTCCAATTACTCAACTTGCTAACCCGGTATTGAGAATTTCTAATCAATTTTAATTGATTTATAATAACAAACAACTTTCATTATTATTATTATAATTTTCCCCCATATAACTAGGAATTGAAACAATTAATTGAAATAAAATAGTTCCAATATTGTTTTTAGTTATAAATTGTTGTTCGTGTGTTTGTGTGTCTGTTGTTTACACATTTCTAAATAATAATTAAGATGATAGACTCGAAACACTAGGCGTACATATAATTTATTCCCAGAGCTGTCAGATGATTTACGATTAATTGAGTGATTTTATTATGAATTAATAACAAACAAACTAACAAACAACAATGACACTTCAAAGGTATTTTTCCGATAAGATCAAAAGATGTTAGAATAAATTGAATTATAAGGTATAATAGGCTTAAAGATTTATATTTAAGGTATTAATCAAAAGATCGTCAATCGATACGATTTGTTGCTTAAAATTTATAAATTGAAAGATGCAAAAAATTATTTTAGATCCCATGTTTTGAAGATAGGGCGCCACAGGCAATATATTGATGCAAAATTGAAATTATAGTGATGTGTTATCACTGGACCGCAAGAATTTTTAGATGCCTATGTCTAATTTCCCCTATCAATGTATTCTTAACACTGCAAGACAGCGACCACGTTGTCCAGACCCAAGGTCCTGTAAGGGCTTTACATATTATACTACAAAACTCTACGATTATAAGAAGGTCTTCCAAGAAATATTTTTCAAAAACTCATAACTGTAGACCTGCAGATCCTATAAAAAATAGTCTTCGAAAATCCAGTCCATAAGATCCACAAAAAAATCTATTAAAATGAACTATAACAGTCCTAAAGATCCCTCAAAGAATAGTATTCAAAAACTCATGACTGAAATCCTTTAAATACCTAAAAAATAGTAAAAAATATGAAAGAGAAAAATTTCAGGATAGCAGAATACAATAGTCAGTATTGAAATTGAAAATCACATTTTAAGAGATCTAATTATACCTTCAGCTATACAGGGTGAAATGAAAAAACTGCAACCAATTTCAGACTGCAGTGACTTTTAAGCCACTCGTCCGACAGCTGTTAAAATTATTCCAATAACAGCTCATTATATTGCTTACAAGCGTTCAAAAGAATTTTGGTGAGAATTTTCCAGAAAAAACATTTATTCGTGATGGAATTCAAGCGTGATAGTTTGTTTTTTTTTTTATATTTGGCTGGGAAACCAGCTCTCTCGTTAGATCACTTCAGAATTTAAATGTGAATAAATCTTTTGTGTCTCGTACCATCGCTCCATAGTACCGTGATACTGGCAGCGTAGAACGAAGTCAAGGAAGTGGACGGAAGAAAACAGCAATATCAGCAGAAATGGTTTGAAATGTAAAGAAGCGACTTGATCGAAACCCGAGTCGCAGTCCCCAAAAAATGGCTCGTGAGATAAACATATCGTAATATTCCATTCGGCAAATATTGAAAAATGAGCTCAGCGTAAAGCCACTGAAATTCCAAAAAGTGCAAGAACTTACACCGCAACAGTAAGAAAATATACTCAAAAGAGCTAAAGAGTTGCTTCGCTTGGAAAAAAGTGGTGAACTGCCTAATTTGGTTTTCTCCGATGAGAAAACATTCGTTATTCAGCAGTTTGTAAACGAAGAAAATAATTGTGTTTACTTGCCAAAGAGGTCAGCTGACAATGTGCACCTTCTGTTGACCACCAGAACTCAAGCGCCAAACATGGTGATGGTGTGGGCCGCCTTAACAGCCGATGGTCGCTCTCCGCTCGTATTAATCGACCGTGGCATCACAACAAATGCCGAATATCGCGAAAATATTCTGGAGGGTGTATTAAAGCCTTGGGCACGCAAACATTTTGGCGGCATACCTTGGATATTCCAACAGGACTCAGCACCATTTAAGAATTACAAAATGAGGTTCCTCGTCTCATTTCGTGCGCATAATGGCCACCAAAATCTCCGGATACCAATCCGTTGGTCTATTGATTCTGGAGTATTTTGGAAAGCAGGTTGGCAATAAAAAATACCAAAGTGTCGATCATCTCAAGCAAGCATTTCGCCAGGAATGGGCCAAATTCGTGCCAAAGGTGGCCAATTCGAACAAATCTAAACTTATTCTAAAAAATTATGCTATTTGCGACATTTTTTGATTCATTAAAAAAAAAAATTAAAAAATGTAAAAATAATGGCATTTGACTTTGTTGTAGTTTTTTTTTTATCTCACCCCGTATGGCTAGAGAGGATAAAGTTCATTTAATACGGACAAAATTTGCCACATAGAAATAACGGTTTTAGACCGTAGGTCTCTTTGGACCAAATCCGTTTCAGAACATTTGGAGTCGATCTAAGGTGCGCACGATAACTCTCGAAGGGAGTACCCGATTTGGTCTTAACTTGGTGCATTAAGATAAAGTATGAAAATTAAGTTAAGTAAGTCGACAATATCTGGCACCTTATTTTCTAAAAATTATCACATATCTGATATAAAGTGAAGAAAGTAACCAATATAGTCGCAAAATTTATATCATATTTATTTAGGGTCCGATTCGAAATGGACAATATTAGCCCATTCCTTCGCAGTTTGAATAAACATAACAGAAGTCAAAATATATTTGAATAATCGAACATTGTCTGAGGGTATATATCTTGATAACTTGTTTTTGTTATCACTTTATACTTACTTGTGTCCCAATTCATGGGCTATGGTATGTGATAACATTATCCCATTATCTTCATTAACACTGCAAGATTGCTTGGGTTTACACATTCCACCCACGTTAGCAAGGCCCAAGGTCCTATATATATAAAAAAAAACAGAATATAAAATTCATTAAATTAAAAAATAAAATCTTTTTAAATATTAATAACGAATTGTCCCAACTTACATGCAATTATTGCCGCATATATTTTTACGGGTTATTAAAACTGCCACATCGTGATGATGAGGATCCAATTCATTGCCGCTATTTAATTTGTGCTGCCAGCTAGAAAGAAAAAAAAGAAACAAAAATGTTACTCAAAACAATTTCTAACTATCGGAGCCTGCAACTTCATTTTTTCACTCAAAAAAAAAAATAATAATAATAATTCCCACAAAAAAAAAAACAACAAATCACTTCCTGAGAAATTTGTATCCCAAAAGCCAGAACAGAAACAACTACAGCAACAACAGCAGCAAAGACCATATGTCTAGACTTTAAATTATCTTATCTTATTTTGACAGTATCACGCAGCCAACTTGAAAGGCATTGAAATGACGCGTTAAGTTGCTGGCGCCTAAAATAAACGCGCAGGCGTATGGACAGCAAAATGGCACGCGGATATACAAATACACACTTACGCACACTCCATCACACCCAAAATGGCTATAGGAATACACAACTCCGAGTGAGGAAATGTACATTTACTGTTGTTGTCTAAACACAGATGATGCCTTGTCTGACATGACGTGGCTATAAATAAATGAACCACAAATAGGATACAGTGGTTTGAATTCGAAGTAGTCCTTACGATTCTTAAGGAGGTTTACTACCTCCGAAGACAAATACAAATGCCATGTTAAACATATGCCATGTTAAACTCAAATAGTTTGAAAATTAGGTAGTAGCTCAAAACATATATGAAATCGTGTCAATGATCTTTATTAAGAACTATACCTTTATAATCCTTTTAATATTCTTATATTCAAATACAATTCATAGTTTGTCCCTCAAACTTAACGCAATCACCCAAACTATCAAATATATTGTTCAAATATCTACGACTAGCAAATGCCCGCTACTTCGTCAGCGAAAAGTTCACCTTAAACGTTCGATTTGTTTCAACTGTTCGTGTTAGGCCTTTTTAGTACTCAAAACTCACAAATTGTTCAGTTTGAAACAATTAAAAAAACATTAAGTTCGGCCGGGCCAAACTTTTAATACCCTCCACCTTAGGGTAAAGGAAACATTAGAAGAAATGGTGCAAAAACCATTAAAATGCCGAATATCGCGAGGTATCGTTATATGGGGGCTATACCAAATCGTGGACCTACACATGCAATGTTTCGCCAACAGAGGTAGAACCCATTATGACCTACAAATACCAATTTTCATAGAAATTCGTGAAAAAATGTGGCAAAAATCATCAAATTACCGAATATCGGAAGGTACCGTTATATGGGGGCTATACCAAAACGTGGACCTATATATACAATGTTTCGCCACACGAACTAGGACCCATTATGACCCACAAATACCAATTTTTAGACAAATCAGTGAAAAAGTGTGGCAAAAACCATCAAAGTACCGAATATTGGGAGGTACCTTTATATGGGGGCTATACCAAAACGTGGACCTATACATGCAATATTTTGCCAAACGTACAGGGACCCATTATGACCCACAAATACCAATTTTTAGACAAATCAGTGAAAAAGTGTGGCAAAAACCATCAAAGTACCGAATATTGGGAGGTACCTTTATATGGGGGCTATACCAAAACGTGGACCTATACATGCAATATTTTGCCAAACGTACAGGGACCCGTTATGACATACAAATACCAATTTTCAGACAAATCCATGAAAAAATGTGGCATAATTCATCAAAATACCGAATATCGGGAGGTACCGTTATATGGGGACTATACCAGAACGTGGACCGATATATCTCATTTTCAATACCAACCATCCTAGACAATACGACAGACAGACAGACAGACGGACATCGTTAAATCGACGATTTTATGCTGATTATGAATATATATACTTTAATGACACCTTTCCAAGGTGGAGGGTATAAAAATGTTAATTGTACATCGTAATAAATTTTCAGCCTATTAAGCTTTAATAAGTTATTTAAGTTTTTCTTATTTTGGAATGAATAATAGGAAAATGTTTATTTTTTAATCTAAAAAGTCTTCAAAATCTTTCATTTTAAAGTCTACCGCGGAGGATATTAGTAAAACCATTGGACAAGTGTTCCAAATCCAATTTTTCTGTCCAATACTAATTCAACAGCTCCATGCGTAAACCCTAGAAACCTCAAAATCAAATTCCACCCAATATTCAATTTGGTACCACTTAGTACTTTTCGACCAATTGTAGTCCACATTTTCTACACCACCCCATATCTTTACCACAGACACCAAAAGTGACCCCAATATCAAATTTCAGATCTATCCCTTCACATAATACCAAATTTAGTAACATTTAGTACACATATCCAAAACAATCTACATCTATCCATCCTATCCTCTAGCAGTGATCCAAATTTAGTACTATTTAATAATTTGGAACTATTATAGTACACATTTCCAAAACCACCAATCCCAGATACCAACAGTTAGTTAAACATTCAATTTTAGAACCTTGACAGGAGTCGCTTCAACTAAATTAGGTATTGTTTAGTACCACTTAGTACTTTTCGACAAGTATAGTACCCATTTCCAAAGCCAACTTATATCATAACCATAGGCACCAGAATTGTCATCTATAACATATTTCAGATTTTTAACTCAATTCCTTCACCCAATACCAAGTTTAGTACTATTTAGTACTAAGACAACCTCCGTATCTCATTTCCAGATACCAACAGAAATCTTAATATCAAATTTAAGGATTCCAGCCCCATCCCTTCACTCAATGCCAAATATAGTATCAGTTAGTACTTTTCGCCAAATATAGTATCAGTTAGTAGGCTGCATTGCCAAATCTCATACACAGATACCATCAGTAATCTAAATATAACATTTCGGGATTTCAACTCATTTCCTTCACCTAATAAAATTTTTAGTACTACTTAGTACTTATCGAACACATTTCCACATTGCCTTAATATCAAATTTGAGGATTTCAGCCCTATCCCTTCCCGCATTACCACATTTAGTACCATAAAATACTTTTCGTACAATTATAGACCAAATTTCCGAAACCACCTCTATATGTTCAGGTTACACATGAAAAGCGAATCTAATACCAAAATTTAAGATTTAAAACACTATCTGTGCACATAATACAAAATGATACCAAATACCATATGTAGGCTATATCCCTGAAGGTCCGGTAAAAGTATTTTTAAACAAATAAAGATTATAGTCCTGAAGGTCTCTCAAAAATATTTTTCAAAAAATTATGATTATAGTCCTGAAGACCCTTCTAAAAAGGTCGCACAAAAATATTCGGTAAAATTCCACGATTATATCTTGAAAGATATAAGTGCTAAAAAATATTCTCAAAAACTTCCACAATTATAGTTTTAAGGTACTTCAGCCTACAACAGGTCATCTAAAAACTGTACTCCAAAAATTCACGATTATTGTCCTAAGTGTCCCATAATAAAGTTCTTCAAATATAACAGTCCTAAAGGTCTATCAATAATGTTCGTCAAATTTCCACGATTATATCTTTGTAGGACTTTCAAATATTATTTTTCAAATTTTATAATTTAGAGGTCCAGAAAAATTATCTTCAAAATTAATCGACTAGAGCTTAGAAACATTTTATCAAAAATAGTGGATAAAATATTCAAGAGTTCCTTCAAATAATATTCTTCAAAAATTCACGATTATAATTTTGAAAGTGCTTCAAAAACGTTTTTGAAAAATCCATAATTTTGTCCAAGAAGTCCTTCAAAAATTTCTTTTTTTTTAATCCTAGATTGTAGTCCTTCAACAGATAGCCCACGATTGAAGACCTTAAGTTTCTTAAAAAAACATTCTTCAAAAATCCTCGATCATATTCAAAAAAAAATTAACATTTACATAAAAATGTACAATAATTCCCCCGTCAAAAAATCAATGTCATTCAATAATACAAGTTTTTCAAAAAATATATTTTTTATAATTTCATGACTGTAATTCTAGGCTCTTGGGTCAACAACTATTATTCAACGAATATTTTTTACAAATCCAAGATTACAGTCCTTAAAGTATTTCAAATGTTCTTCAAAATACCAAATAGTCGGTTTGAAAGACTTTAAGAAATTATCTTAGTCCTGAAGGTCCTTAAAAAATGATCTTAGTCCTGAAGAACCTTAAAACAATGTATTTACATTTCACGGGCCATCAAGAAATATTCTAGTCCGTCACAAAAATGTTCTCGTTTATAGTCCAGATGAGCGATTCAAAAAATATTCAAATATCAAATAAAAAATCTTCCAACTTTTCATTAAAACAATTTTTCCAAAATCAGGGTCTATTACTCCGATTGTCCTATGAAAGTATCTTTTTAAAAATCCAATTAAAACTCTGATACTACCATGAATATGTTGAAAAAAATCGATAGTATTTTTCTGAGAACTGAGTTGTTTTGTCGTTCACTTTGTCCTGCAGTTTTTTGCTATCAATTCAAAATCTAAGAACCTACATTGTATTATGTTTCTGCAATCCAGTTTTGTAACACTGTGCCCTAGCAATGGTGTGCGAATGCATTCGAAGTGTATGTAAATGAAATATGCTAAATTGTATAAACATTTCTGCATTGCTGTTGTTGTCGTTGTGGTTGCTGTTGCCAATGTTGTTCCCTGCACCCGACTATTACTACAATAATTTGTACTCACCTACAGAACATATCCAAATTCTGTTGGGCATTCTGTGTCAGATTCAAATCTGGATGGGCTTCATCCTCTTCGAGAAGTATTATTTTCACCACAACTATTTCGATGGCATTACCAATGCTGGGATCCTTGTAGAGGGCCGAAACCATGTTCATTATGGTCAGAAGATACGACTCTACCTCATTATGGAAGTTTACCATTGTCGAATCGGCAACAATTAGAGTCTCAACATGACGTGGGCTGCTAATTGAACGTTTGCTGCGTCGATGCGGTAGATGGTGTTGCTGATGCGAAGGATGATGCTGATGGTTCTGATGTTGTTGGTGGTGCTGCTGCCTGTTCGCTTGAGGTGTAAAGTTAATTGCGGATGGTGTTATTGGGCCAGAATTGCGTTGGTTTGATATATAATTGTTATTGTGGTTGTTGCTGTTGTCATTACTGCTGTTGAATGGAGCATTTTTTTGTTGTACTTGATGTCTTTGTTGTTGTTGGTGGTGGGGATTTGTTGTTTGATGTTTATGGTATTCTTGAAGTTTTACATCCGCTGTTGTTGTCTCATATTTGAAATGTGGCTGCTGATGATGCAGGCGCCTTATTCTGCGTCCACCTTGAATTTTTAGCTGTTGCAAAATGGGAAAAGGTATCAAAATAACAACGTTATTTGTGTATTCTACAATGTGGGATGGTACAAGAATTAATAAGAAAAAAAATTGTTTAAAGGTCAAATGTTATACCCACAGACCAATGTATTGGTAGAATATATATGACGGCCACAACGTGTCTCTAGGACTCGAAATTCATTAACGACGGTTATGAGTCGGTTAAAAATCCCACATCGTAATAATTTTATCAGGCGTAGGTCAGGTTGAGCATTGGACAATATCGGTCCATCCTCCAAAAGGGACATTTTTGGGCTGTTCTAAATATCCTAAATGGTAAAAATTATACCTTTAGCCACTTGGGTACTGAGGGTATGTATCATTTGATACGACCAAAAAGTGCCTCATCGAAATAACTGTTTTAGACCCAGACCTCTTTGGACCGAATTCCATTTCAGGACATTTGGAGTCGATCTAGGGGTGTACGTCCGTTTGTATGGCTCGCTAGTTGGCACGATAACTCTATAACAGAGTATCTGATTTGGTCCAAACTTGGTACATGGTAAAAATATTGTCAAACTCATATCGAGTTCGGAGATATGTAATATTGATTCCCTCTTTTCGGTACCTCCCCACAAAAGGTCAAAATTCTCAAAGAACATAATTTACCTCATAGAGAGAGAGAGAAAGGATCATCCAATTTTGTTCAATCTTTGCAAATCCCAATATTCGTATCTGTGCAAGGATAATAGTGACTATGGACAACATTGGTACACACCATCAAGTACCTCCCACACAACGGGTCAAATTTTTCAATAATTATAACTCTTTTAAAATGAAAAATAAGAGTCAGGTTGTCTTCAAATTTTATACGCTCCAATATTATTATTAACACAAGAAATGGCGTGAAGGTGGAATATATCGGTACCTTTCTGTACCTCCCCCACAACGGTCAACGGTTTGAATAGTCATGAATCTCGTAAAACGTGAAATGAACATCCGATTCTATTCAAATCAGGTAGGTCTCAATATGTCTATCGACACAATATATATTGTAAATATGGTAGATATCGTCCCACTACTTCTGGTACCTCCTCCATAAAGGGTTAACATTTTGAATAACCAAAAGTACCATAAAATGTAAATTGAGCATCCGATTCTCTTCCCCATGATTTCTACTAAGCCCATATCTGGTGGGAAGATGAAATATATAGAACCACTGCTTCTGCGAATGGTAGATATGGGTCCCAATATTTTTATTTACACAACCCAATATTTTTACTTACTCAAATCTGCCGTGAAGATTATAAATATCGGCCTACACCTTCTGGTACCTTCCCCATAAAGGCTCACAATTTTAAATATTTGTATCTCGCATAACTTGCGAAACAATTTACCGTTTCTATTCAAATTTTGCATTTATATTTCTTTCACCCAGAGATCTAATTTTGGAATTTATCGAATCACTCCTTCTCGTACCTCTCCCACAAAAGGCTGAAATTTTGACCAGAAATTGTTCCCACAAAAATTAGTAATAGATGTCCGATTTTCTTTAGATTGTCGATATCCTAAGATTTTTATCAGCATAAGGTGAAGTGTACACCTTGTTCTTCTACAGGGTGAGATGAAAAAAATTGCAATCAACTTCAGACTGCTGTCATTTCAAATGCACTTGTTCGACAGCTGTTAAAATTATTTCAGTGACAATTCATTATATTGTTTACAAGCGAACAAAAGCATTTTGGTGAGACTTTTCCAGAAAAAAAGTTATTCGTAATGGAGTTCAAGCGTAATAGTGTGATTTCTTTATATTTGGCTGGGAAACCACAAGTGGCCATTGTTAGAGCACTCCAGTATTTATATGTGAATAAATCTTTTGTGTCTCGTACCACTGCTCGTCACCGTGTTACAGATAGCGAAGCCCGACGTCGACGGACGAAAGAAACCAGCAACATCAGCAGTAATGGTTCAAAAAATAAAAAAGCGACTTGATCGAAACCAGCGTCGCAGTGCCCGAAAAAATGCCTCGTGAGCTGAACATATCGCAAAATTCCTTTCGGCAAATATTGTAAAATGAGCTCGGGGTAAAGCCATTGAAATTTCAAAAAGTGCAAGAACTTACACCGCAACGAAAAGAAAGACACAAAAGAGCTAAAAAGTAGCTTCGCTTGGCCGAAAGTGGTGAACTGCTGAATTTGGTTTTCTGCGATGAGAAAACATTCAAACAAAAATATCGTGTTTACTTGCCAAAGAGATCAGCTGAAAAATTGCACCTTCGTTTGGCCACCAGAACTCAAGCGCTGGCCATGGTGATGGCGTGGGTCGCCATAACAGCCGATGGTCGCTCTCTGCTCGTATTAATCGACCAAAATCTCTGGATACCAATCCGTTGGACTATTGCGTCTGGAGTATTTTGAAAAGCAAGGTTGGCACTAATACCAAAGTGTCGATCACCTCAGAGCAACATTCCGGCAGCGTGTGACCGTTTCATTGTCCATTTGAAGGCCATAATTCGTGCCAAAGGTGTCCAATTTGAACAAATCTAAACTTATTCTAAAATTTGATGCTATTTCCGACATTTTTTGCTTTCATTTAATAAATATTAAAAAATATATATATAAAAATTGTGACATTTGACTTTGTTGCAGTTTTTTATCTCACCCTGTATATTTTAATAAACTCAACTTTTAACTTATTTTTGTTACATTTATGCCCGATTCAAGGAAGGACTATATCGGCTCACCTCGCCTCGTTCCAATATTGAGGAATTGTCTTCCTTTTGGCGTTTTACAAACAAATGAATAAGTAACCACGATACCTGAATGGGGAAGGACATAACAACAATCCACAGGGACTACATCATCTTTAGTTAATAAAAAAAAACCTCATTCAGAGTTCAGCGCCAACTATCGAGGTAATTCAAACTGTCACAGTCCCTAAATAAACTATTTTCCTTGAAAAATCCCCCATTCTCCATATACACCCATTTCATTTTTACACCCACTCACCTTGCCTTGTGGTTGCCATTCGACAAGACGTGCTTCTATACGTCGTCTTGGTTCCTTGGTTCCACAATTACTTAGTGTTCTCCTTTGACGTTTCGTTCCATTTTGCAACAATTTATGTGATGACTGCTGATCGTGGTGATGAGGTTGCATCTTGTGCGGATGATTCTGTTGCTGCTGCTGCTGCTGCTGCTTCTTTGTTGCAGTCTGAAAGATGCAAAAAACCAAGAAAATAATTGTTGCATTAATACCTGAATTTTTTATTTAAATTTGTTCAACATTGACACATTTTAAGTACCCCGCCCTCTCTTCGTCTGAGTCTTTGTTTTTCGGACAAATTCAATTTCAGTGTAGGCTTTTGTTGCAGCAATTTGTCTAGATGTTTATATTGTTTGTCTTTTAACTGGATTTAGTGGTCCATTCATTCTTTAGTTCATCTATTTGTCTGCCAACTTGGCCATTACACGCCTGACTGACTAACTGGTTATCTTCCTGCCTTCTATGCCACCAGTGAATATTTGACTTACATTTTGTCTGTCTGTCTGTCTGTCTGTCTGTCTCTGTGTCTTTTTTGCATTTAGTTCATTCATAGTTACTTGCAACCCACCTAAAAAGTTGCCGTTCGTTATCTTTCTTACTGTCTTCCATGCAAATGCAAATTTCAGTAATTACCTTTTCCTTAACAGATGATCTTTGAAATACAACATGCGGATGTCCGTTCACATTGTGGGCTGCGGCATGAAGTTTTGATGGCTCAATGTAATATTCATTATTTTTGGTTTTTATGTGACCAACCTGAGGAGATAAGAGAAAAATACGAAAAAAAAACAAATAAGTGCATAAATATGATTATTTTATGTTAATATTATTCGTGGTAATATAATAAAATTGTAAAAAAAAAGATTTGATGAATAAATATACAAATATGAATAACAAAACAAAAGACTTAAGACACAAACTTTACATAGGACAAATTGTGTTTTTTTTATTCCATAAAAATCCCTGACTGAAGTAGAAAATGTTAATACTCTGCAGACCAATAGAATTACTCACATAAAAAAATTAGCCACGAAAAGCCGATAATGTCCATGTTGAACATTGATAAAAGTTTGGACCATAAGGGCAGATTAAATCAATCATTTCGAAAATCCTTTGCTGTTTGGTCATTTTTATACCCTCCACCATAGTATGGAGGGTATATTAAGTTTGTCATTCCGTTTATAACACCTCGAAATATACATTTTACACCCCACAAAGTATATATATTCTTGATCAGCATAACATTCTATGTCGATTTAGCTATGTCCGTCCGACTATCCGTATGTGGAAATCACTCTAGCTTCCGAACGAAATGAAGTACAGGATTGCCCATATTCGACGGACCCATCTGGCAACGCCATAACTTTTGACAGAGATGTCACATCGCTTAATGACATACCGCGTTTGAAGCGTCAGACCAAGCAGATTTTTATCATGAACCAATACACGCCACGCGAGCGCTCTGAAATTTACATTCAACAGAAGAAGTCAATTGTGAAAACTCAACGTGCTTTTAAAATATTAAAAAATGTGAGAAGTGTGCCTTCTAAGAACACCATTAAGCGTTTATATGAAAAATTTTCGACTGGTAAGGCTCTTTCTAATCCGAAAAGGCCATATAAAAGTCGACCAAGGCGATCGGCCGAGAATATCGCTGCCGTACGAGCCAGTGTTGAGAGGTCCCCAAGAACATCCCAAAAACCCCGTTCTCAGCAGTTGGGCATGGCTCGGTCCACTTTACAACGGATTATTCGCATTGATTTGCATTTGTTCCCTGCGGACAAGCCTCGTCGATTGGAATGGGTCCAAAGACTCATCGAAATGGCCGAAAAAAAACATGGGTCCATCGAATATGGGCAACCCTGTAGGTTGATAAAATTTTACTCAAATGTGTACTATGTCTGCAGAACTTTTGGTATTGAAAATGGGTGATGTAGGTCCACGTTTTGGTATAGCCCCCATATAATGGTACCTCCCTTTTTTCAGTATTTTGGTGATTTAAGCGACATTATTCAACGGAAATGTTTCAAATTTGGCATTTAAAGTTCGTAATGGATACCACGTCTTCGTATAGCCCCCATATAACGGTACCCACGATATATGTTGTTTTGATGATTTTAGCGACATTATTCACCGGAATTGTTTCAAATTTGGTGTTTTAAGTTCGTAACGGACGCTACAGCCTTTGAATTGTCTGTGAAAGTCCACGTCTTCGTATGGCCCCGTTTTATTTCCTATATTCGGAATTTTGATGATTTTAGCTACATTATTCACCGACATGACAATGGTTGCCTAAGCAGGTCCACGTCGTCGTATAGACCCTAATATAAGGGTTACATTCGAAATTTTTAAAATTTTAAAAAAAATTTTAAATTATTTATTTTTTTTTAAATAGCAAATATCGTTCCAAATGGTGGAGGGTATCCAAAGATCGGCCCAGACGAACTTACAGCTTTTTTTGAATAAAACCTCTATTTATTTATTTGTCAACTTTTTTTGTCGGACTTTTTCTCTTCGTCAGGGGAAGTCCCATTTTAATCTAAACTTAGGTAAGTTTTAAATATATCATTTATTAGGCCCGTTTTTGGCATCGCAAACCGTAAACCTTACAAATTTTATCAAATTTACAACCCGTATGTAAATAAAATTTCTCTCTATCCACTTTTTTGTCCACTCACCCATAACATCCTTACAACGAAATAGCACAACTGCATCTCAAAAAACGTACACCCATCTATCATAAAATCCCCCAAACATTGTTGCCGCACCATTATCCATCAATTACAAATCTAATAATTATGACCGTAATTCGATTAATTGCTAATAAAAATTTCCAAGCATGCACTTTAATTCCCGGCAATAATAGTTATTAATTTATGGGTATTTCTATGAATTGATTGTCTCAATTAAATTTACTTTTTGACATATCAATTAATTGAATGGAACTTTAAATTGGGGGGGGTGAAATGGCAGGAGTAGAAAAACCAAAACATAAAAATGACCAATTAAACCAAATTAAATCAAAAGAAAGGAAGAAAAATGAATATTTGTGAAAATGTATAGAAGTAAAATGCTACAATTTTACACATTAGTCAATTGCGATTTTTATAGTTTGGCCTAAATTGTGGATTTACTTCCAAATTCTGGTTCTTTTCATGAGAGTACAAAAATGTCTGAATCGATGAAATTGAACATTAATTTAGCATATTATTGCTCCATGTTTAGAGCTCTTATGGGAGAGCTATGAAAAGGAGGGAAAGTTACGATGCAAGGAGTTTGAACTACATTAGACACTGATTTTTTTTTGTATGCTAAAATAAATATATATTTTTGATAATTTTGAACTCGCCAAGGGAGGTATCGGGAGGGAAGTTGATCTACATTCTTATTCGTACCTTAAGACCTAAATAAGTAAAAAAACAAGTTACAAAGCAGTAAGTTTGGCCGGGCCGAACTTTGAATACCCTCCACCATTTGGAACAAATTTAGAAATTTCCAAAAAATAAAATCCTTAACACATTCTGTTAACATTTTAAAAATACCAAATATAGCCGTTATATTGGGGTTTATACGACGTGGGCCTACATAGGCATTGTTTGTTATAAACCATTACCATATTCAAATTCTAAAATCATCAAAATATCGTATATAAGGAGGTACCGTTATATCGGAGCTGTGCGAAGACCTAGACAATTTTCGGTCACAGCCTGTAGCATCCATTACGAACTTTAAATACCACATCTCATTTCGGGTATTGTACCTAAAATCGTCAAAATACCGAATATAGGAAGGTACTGATATATGGGGCCTATACGAAAACCTGGACCTGCATAGACAAATTTCTGTCACAGGCTGTAGATCCCATAATGAACTCTAAATACGTAATATTGAAACAATTCTAGTGAATAATAACGCTAAAATCATAAAAATACCGAATATCGGGAGGTACCCGTGGGGGCTATATGAAAACGTGGTCCTACGTGGCACATTTACGAACTTAACCTGCCTACTGGAAAAATAAACATGTGTGCAAAATTTTAGCCATCCATCTCAATTCATTCGAAAGATAGCGTGATTACAACAGACGGACATCGCTAAATCGACTTAGAATTTTACGCTGATCAAGAATATATATACTTTGTTGGGTCTGACATGAGTATTTCGAGAATTTACAAACGGAATCACAAAGTTAATATACCCTCCACAGTTCATGGAAAGTTGGTCACAAATTTCACATTTTTTGAGATTCATAATTTTTATACCCTACACCACATAGTAAGGGTATTATGACTATGTGCATTTGTTTGTAACATGGAGAAGGAAGCAAGAAGACTTTTGAGGTTTTTTGATAGAATCAATTTCTAAGTCGATTTATGCATGTCAGTCAGTCCGCCCGTACGTCTGAGCATGTGAACAAAATGCAAGACGCATTTATTACCCGATTGAGATGAAAATTTGCAAAAGATATTTGTTTGGCCCAAGGACGAACCCAACTCAATATACAGGGTGAGATAAAAAAAACTGCAAAAAAGTCAAACGCCATAATCTTTCCTTTTTTTTTATTTTATTGAATGGAAGCAAAAAATGTTGGAAATAGCATCAAATTTTAGAATAAGTTTAGATTTGTTCGAATTTGTCACCTTTGGTACGAATTATGGCCTTCAAACGGTCAATGAAACCGTCAAACCCTGCCCGAATGTTGCTTTGCAGTATTTTGGCCGATTCCTGGCGAAGCGCTTGCATTAAGTGATCGACACTTTGGTATTTTTATTTAGTGCCAACCTCGCTTTCCAAAATACTCCAGACACAACAGTCCAACGGATTGGAATCCGGAGATTTTGGTGGCCATTGTGCGCTGGAAATGAAGCGAGAAACCTCATTTTATAACCATTAATGGGTAGCGCGTGCTGAGTGCAATGGTGCTGAGTCCTGCTGGAATGTCCAAGGTCTGATGTTTGCCAAAATGTTTGTGTGTCCAAAGCTTTAATACACCCTTCAGAATATTTTCGCGATAATATTTGGCATTTATTCTGATGCCACGGTCGATTAATACGAGCGGAGAGCGACCATCGGCTGTTATGGCGGCCCACACCATCATCATGGCCGGCGCTTGAGTTCTGGTGGCCAAGCGAAGGTGTACATTTTCAGCTGACTTCTTTGGCAAGTAAACACGATCATTTTGTTTGTTTACAAACTACTGGACAACGAATGTTTTCTCATCGGAGAAAACCAAATTCGACAGTTCACCACATTCGGACAAGCGAAGCAACTCTTTAGCTCTTTTGAGTATATTTTCTGTCCGTTGAGGTGTAAGTTCTTGCATTTTTTAGAATTTCAATGACTTTACTCCGAGCTCATGTTTTCCGAATGGAATATTGCGATATGTTCAGCTCACGAGCCATTTTTCGGCCACTGCGACACGGGTTTCAATCCGGTCGTTTCTTAACTTTTCGAACCATTTCTGCTGATGTTGCTGTTTTCTTTCGTCCACTTCCATGACGTCGGGCTACGCGACACAAAAGATTTATTCACATTTAAATGCTGGAGTGCTTTAACGATAGCCACTTGTGGTTTTCCAGCCAAATATGAAGACATCACTCTATCAGGCTTCAATCCCAACACGAATAACTTTTTTCTGGAAAATTCTCACCAAAATGCTTTCGTACGCTTGTAAACAATATAATGAACTGTCACTGGAATAATTTTAACCGCTGTTGGACGAGTGGTTTAGAAATGACAGCAGTCTGAAGTTTGTTGCAGTTTTTTATCTCACCCTGTATTTGTACTTTGCAAAATTAATTTGTGTTTAATATTGTTTCAACGAGCGCCATGTGGTCCCCTCTTCTTCCCACCTTTCCCCTTTCTTTCGCGTGCCTTTAGTGATGTTGCAAATTAATATTACAATGTGTAAACATAGCTTGCCACGGGCCAAGCAATGCCTCCGTTTCAATAGATAATTGCCTGTCCATAGTCTCTAAAACAATAAACTTGTCGTTCCGTCTCCATGGCTTTCCTCTTTGTTGTTGTTGCTGTTGTTATTGTTTGGTTGCTTGTTGCATGCAGCCATGAAAAATCCATTATCCCCAGTAAATGTATGCATGAAAAGCGTGAGTGTTGAGTCTCCTACATAAATGCCGGTATGGACATGTGGGGATATGCCAGCATGCCTTTATAATGTTTCCGATTACACATTCAACCGTGTATAGTGTTTATCTGTCCTTCTTTTGCCATTTATTTTTTTTTTTTATTTGGAAGGGGGCCTTTATGGAGATTGGCATGGCGTGGTTATGGCAAAAAAAATGGCAAGGGTACTACATGGTTGATGTGGCGCCATATATTGCCAGCCAGCCAGTCAGCTAACCAGTCAGTCAGACAGCCAACCATATACATATAGAAGATATTGGGTAGGCAACAGCACCACCATCGGGTAGTTGGTACTACCTCAACATTTATGCCATTCATGTAGTTGCCCCAGTCGTCCATTCCTCCTTCTGTCCTCTGATTGATATTTTCATTCGTCATTGTTTTCTATTTCTGGTCTTTGGAAAGGCACACAAAACTGTAAACGCCAGTTGTCGTCTCGTTAATGTTTCTCACATTAACGGAAGCAGCGATTATTTGTCATTAAAGTCATAAACAGATTTTATGACACCGCTTAACATTTTATTAGCATTATATTTGTTTCATTGTAAAGATTAATTTTTTTTTTATATTATTAATTAGTCATTGGGGTAGGCTAGGTTAGATGGGAAGAACACAATGTCGAGAGTGGGCAAATTTACATATTGAACTCATATATATTCCGGATGAGTTTTATTAATTAAAGGCTCAATGCTTAAGTCGATGATGCCATGAATTCATCAAGGTATGTTCTCAAGGATGCGTGAAACTTTAACAAATATAAGGGTTATAAAAGTTGATTTTTTAAAAATATTTTTCAGAAGATATCAGATCTGAAACGTGGATTTTATAGGAAAGAGTTGCATAGTAAATATTACAGTTTTATACGTGAAGTTTAAAGAATATTTTTTTTAGGAAATAGGAGAAAATTAAACGTGGATTTAAAAAAAAATCTAAAGAAAAATAAGCCCAACAAATCTGGATTTTTAAGAATACAGGGTGAGATAAAAAAAAACTGTAACCAACTTCAGACTGGTGTCATTTCTAAGTCACTCGTCTGACAGCTGTTAAAATTTCCAGTGATAGCTCATTATATTGTTTACAAGCGAACCAAAGCATTTTGGTGAGAATTTTCCAGAAATTCAATTCGTGATAAAATTCAAGCGTGATTACGTGATTTTTTTATATTTGGCTGGAAAGCCACAAGTGACTGTCGTTAGATCACTCCAGCATTTAAATGTGAATAAATCTTTTGTGTCTCGTACCATCGCTCGTTACCGTGATACTGGTAGCGTAGCCCGACGTCAAAGAAGTGGACGGCAGAAAACAGCAACATGAGCAGAAATGGTTCGAAAAATAATGAAGCGACTTAATCGAACCCCGCGTCGCAGTGGCCGTACAATGGATCGTGAGCTGAACATATCGCATTATTCCATTCGGCAAATATTGAAAAATGAGCTCGGGGATAAGCTATTGAAATTCCAAAAAGCGCAAGAAATTACAAAGCAACAGAAAGAAAATAGACTCAAAAGAGCTAAAGAGTTGCTTCGCTTGGCCGAAAGTGGTGAACTGCTGAATTTAGTTTTTTTCCGATGAGAATACATTCGTTGTCCAGCCGTTTGTAAACAAACAAAATGATCGTGGTTACTTGCCAAAGAGGTCAGTTGAAAATGGGCACCTTCGGTTGGCCACCAGAACTCAAGCGCCCGCCATGGTGATGGTGTGGCCGCCATAACAACCGATAGCCGCTCTCCGCTCGTATTAATTGACCGTGGCATCAGAATAAATGCCGAATATTATCGCGAAAATATTCTAGAGGGTGTATTAAAGCCTTGGGCACGCAAACATTTTCGCCGCAGACCTTAGACATTCCAACAGGACTCAGCACCATCGCACTTAGCACGCACTACCCATGAATGGTTACAAAATGAGGTTCCCCTCTTCATTTCCAGCGCAAAATGACCACCAAAATCTCCGTATACCAATCCGTTGGACTATTGTGTCTGGAGTATTTTGGAAAGCAAGGTTGGCACTAAAAGTGTCGAACACCTCAAGCAAGCGCTTCGCCGGGATTGGGCCAAAATACCGCAGAGCAACATTCGGGCAGCGTGTTTCGGTTTCATTGGCCGTTTAAGGCCATGATTCGTGCCAAAGGTGACCAATTTGAACAAATCTAAACATATTTTAAAATTTGAATTATGGCGTTTGGTTATTTTTGTCCTCCACAAGCGTAATATGCGCTCCGTAACAACGATACTCGGAGAAATATATTAAATATATCTCAAGAATACTTTTCCAATTTTTTTTTATCAAGATCCATTCACATTTGGCTATAGCTCACCTGTATATCTTTACCCGATTTCAAGTTTATTTAGCTTGGAAGAATGTGTATCAAATTTGGTGAAAATCGGTTAAGATATACCTATAGCTCACATATATATGTTTCATCAGATTTTGTATTTTACTCCCACACAACAACGATATGTGGTGCCAAATATCGGACACAGCATTGGGAATATATTTGCTAAATTTTATAGAAATCGGTTTAGATTTGGATATAGCTTCCATAAATATCTTCACCCGATTTCACGTTTATTGTGCCTACAAAGAGTAATATCAGCTCAAATAGGATAGATTTTACTGAATAATTTGCATTCAAAAACTATAAATTTTTGTATGTTTTAATTATCATAAATTCCCCATAAAACCGTTTATGTGTTATATGTAGCTCTACTATATATGGAAAGTAGTGAAGGTCCGACTTTGGTATTTCTTAAATGGTTTTCAAGTAAAAACATTTTTTAAAAATATTTTTGAAGAATTGTGAATTTTTGTGAATTATTTAATTATCTTTTTTTGGAAAAAATCTCACTTACCAACCCATTACACGCTGATAAAGCCACCCTCGATTCTGGCTGATCCTTAATGCGACCATGATAATGACAATTGGTATGTTTTTGCAAACGTTTACGGGTACGTAAATCCCGACGATGTCTTTCCACAATTAGATGTGGAGTCATGAAATAGCTGTGAGGTCTGAAATTAAAAATAGAATATCAAACAATGTATCTATCAGCGGCTCTACTCCCCAAACTCTAGGTATTCTTACTCTAATTCCAAATGCAATGTTTCATTTTGTATGTCCAGATGATAGTGAACTTCTGGTTCCAAATTCGTATCATCTATGCTTCGACGTTTACGTGTATGTTTGTAATGTTGTCCATGATGATGTTGAAGACTGTGGGAGAGAAACTCTCCGTTGCTGCTTACTTTTCGTGGTATTACCAATTCTCCAGATATCAGTTCGTCCGAATGCAGGCCTGCAAAGAAAAATAAAAACAAAAGACACATGAGAAAATCAATTAAAAACAATTTCAATATTATGCTTGTTTATCTATAAACAACATCGATTCACACACACATATATACATACATACATACATGTAAGCATACATTTATACATAGACTAGCCACTAACACAAATTGAGCTGTTAACTTATAACACGTAAATTTCTTCGAATCGGTATAATTAAAATAAACGACTTCTATGAACATCCCATAAATCACACCATATGCTCGTGAAAAGAACTGACTGACTGCTAGATCGATCGATCGGTCGATGCGGTCTTTTTTTTAACCGGCAAGCTCGTGTGTTGAACACTTTTTGCTTGTTGGGCAAAATTTTAAATTAGATTTTAAATAATTAAATGCCTTAACGTGATTAAGGTGGCAATTATTATGTAATACCAAACTTGATAGACATGCAAACCACAAAAAATTGACTATATAACCAAATTCTGGCAAATAACCACGAGGCACAAAAAATAATTCAGTTAATTGCGGCAAATATATATTATACATGTGGTCTTAGACGTTAAGTAAATACCTTATTGGGATTTAAAATAGTACTGTGGTACAAAATTCAAATTTGTCAATAATTACTGGAAAATCACAGAAGAATATGAAAGGTGAGTTAAAAATAAACCATCGGGGTTCAATCGGGGTTTTGAAAATTTTCATTGCAAAGTAACCAAAGTGGAACACATAGGATTATTTTGGTCGAAAATATTAACACCCAATGGAATTTTGGTCTCTTGTCAAAATATGGTTTGAAACTCACTTTAAATGGGATAGTAGACAGTTAATTTATTACTTATAAAAATCAACCATAGGTTCCAGAATACCTCAAAATTTTAAATACAGTTCTGGGGGACTTTTGTAAAGATTACATTTCACTCTTGAAGTTGCTCCGCAGTTTGATTTGATCGGAAATATAATTGACTTGAAACATTGCGAGTTCTGCGACCTAAGCTGCTCTTTCTTATTCGAGGAGCCAGAAAGATTTTTAAAATCAACATATCGTAGGTTAGTCTATAAAATAGTTTGACAAACTTTTTTTCAATATATACAGGCTGAGATGAAAAACCGCAACCAACTTCAGACTGCTGTCATTTCTAAGCCACTCGTCCGGCAGCTGTTAAAATTATTCCAGTGACAGCTCATTATATTGTTTACAAGCGTACAAAAGAATTTCTGTGCGAATTTTCCAGAAAAAAAGTTATTCGTGATGGAATTCCAGCGTGATAGTGTGATTTCTTTATATTTGGCTGGAAAACCATAAGTGGCTATCGTTAGAACACTCCAACATTTAAATGTGAATAAATCTTTTGTGTCTCGTACCATCGCTCGTTACCGTGATGCTGGTAGCGTAGCCCGACATCAAGGAAGCGGACGGAAGAAAACAGCAACATCAGCAGAAATGGTTCGAAAAGTAAAGAAGCGACTTGGTCGAAACCCGCGTTGCAGTGGCCGAAAAATGGACATATAGCAAGATTCCATTCGGCAAATATTGAAACATGGGCTCGGGGTTAAGCCATTGAAATTCCCAAAAAGTGCAAGAACTTACACCACAACAAAAAGAAAATAGACTTCAAAGAGCTAAAGAGTTGCTTCGCTTGGCCGAAAGTGGTCAACTGCTGAATTTAGTTTTCTCCGATGAGAACACATTCGTTGTCCAGCACTTTGTAAACAAACAAAATGATCATGTTTACTTGCCAAAGAGGTCAGCTGAAAATGTAAACCTTCGTTTGGCCACCAGAACTCAAGTGGGAACGGTGTGGGCCGCCATAACATCCTATGGTCGCTCTCAGCTCGTATTAATTAACCTTGGCATCAGAATAAATGCCGAATATTATCGAGAAAATATTTTGGAGGGTGTATTAAAGCCTTGTGCACGCAAATATTTTGGCCGCAGACCTTGAACATTCCAACAGGACTCCCATCGCACTCAGCATGCGCCACCCTAGAATGGTTACAAAATGAGGTTCCTCGCTTCATTTCTAGCGCAAAATGGCCACCAAAATCTCCGGATACCAATCCGTTACACCATTGTGTCTGGAGTATTTTGGAAAGCAAGGTTGGCACTAAAAAATACCAAAGTGTCGATCACCTCAAGCAAGCGCTTCGCCGGGAATGCGCCAAAATACCGCAGAGCAACATTCGGACAGCGTGTGACGGTTTCATTGGCCGTTTGAAGGCCATAATTCATTCCAAAGGTGACCAATTCGAAGAAATCTGAACTTATTATAAAATTTGATGCTATTTCCAACATTTTTTGCTTTTATTCAATAACATTTTTAAAAAAAGGAAAAATTATGGCATTTGACTTTGCAGTTTTTTTTTTTATCTCACCCTGTAATGGAACTTCCCTCTTCTGGGTATTTTGATGATTCTAGCGACATTATTCACCGGAATTATTTCAAATTTGGTATTTGAAGTTCGTAATCGGTATTACAGCCTTTGACAGAAAATTGTCTGTACAGGTCCACGTCTTCGTATTGCCCCCTTATAGCGGTACCTCCCGATATTAGGTATTTGTATTACTTTGGCGACATTATTCGCCGGAATTGTTTCAAATTTGGTACTTGAAGTTTGTAATTGATACTACAGCCTATGACAGAAAATTGTTTGTGCAGGTCCTCGTTTTGGTGTAGCCCCCATATAATAGTACCTCCCTATATTCGGTATTTTGATAATTTTTTTCAAGTTTCGCATCTGAATATTGTAATGGCTTATGACAAAAGTTGCCTATGCAGGTCCACGTCGTCGTATAAACCCTAATATAATGGCTGCATTCGGTATGTTTAAGATTTTAGCAGAATTTTTAACGGATTTTATTTTATTATTTTTTTTTTAATTTTTTTTTTTTTTTTTTTGAAAATTGCCAAATTCGTTTCAAATGGTGGATGGTATTAAAATATTCGACCCGGCCGAACTTACAGCTTTCTTGTTTCTTATTCCAATTTTTTTTTTTAATTTGCAACATGCAAAAATTGGGACTTGAAAATTAATAGAGAGCTTTAGCTTACTTCAAGAATCATTGGTTTGGAAAATGAGTGATGTTGGTCCACATTTTTGTATAGTTTTTATATTTTAGGGTGAACTACGATTTAAGTAATTGTTGGGTTTTAATAGTATTTTCTATTTTACTTGACCAAAAAAAATGGTCCTGACAATAAGACAGTTGGGCAGCTAACTCGATTAACTAACTTGATGCCTACGATACGAATACAAACCTCATTACACGGTGGAGGGTGCAAATGAGTATGAATAACATAAATTAAAATAAGTCATACGCCCCAATAACCAAATATTGAAATTTCAAAAACAGGTAGTTTGTTTAAAAGATGATTGATATAAGATGGAGCTGTGCAAAATGTGTCAATTGGGAATAATAGTTTTAGTCTTAGAAAAGAGCCTATTTGTAGTCTATCCAAAAAAAATTCCGTAATGTCTGTGAGCACTATAACTCTCGAAGGGAGTATCTGATTTTGAATAGTAGTAAGTCTCGTGATATCGGTTCAATTATAGTGGTACTTCCACCATAAAACATAAAAAAATTACAATAAACATCAAGTATTAAAATAATAATAATTTTTATCACATTTTTTAAATAAAATATTGGAACCACCCCCGCAAACGTTAAAAATTTTGAAAAAAAAAAAACTATATATTTCAAACTTGGCACATCATCATATTTAGTAAGACTTCGTTCAGGGGCGATAATGAGCAAAATTGCTTCAAAAATTCATAAACCTCCCCCGATAAAAAAACAATATTGTGAACAATAACAACTCTTGTAATATTTGAATTCGAGGCCCGATTTTCTTCAAACTTATCACATACCAATATACCAAAAAAATACATCGGCCCTACAAAAAATCAAAATTTTGCAAAAAAACATACATCAAAAAATCACATTAAACGTAGGTAGTACCCAATATGATTCAAATTTGGCACGTCAAAATATTGATAGGTTATAGGAATAATAAGGAACCAATTGGTCAAATTTAGAAAATATACAGGGTAAGATAAAAAACTGCAACAAAGTCAAAAGCCATAATTTTTACATTTTTTTAATCTTATTGAATAAAAGCAAAAAAATCGGAAATAGCATCAAATTTTAGAAAAAGATTAGATTTGATTTGACCAATGAAACAGTCACACGCCGCCCGAATGTTGCTCTGCGGTATTTTGGCGCATTCCCGGCGAAGCGCTTGCTTGACGTAATCGACACTTTGATATTTCTAAGTGCCAACCTGCTTTTCAAAATACTCCAGACACAATAAACCAACGGATTGTTATCCGGAGATTTTGGTGGCTATTGTGCGCTGGAAATGAAACGAGGAACCTCATTTTGTAACCATTTTTGGGAGGCGCGTGCTGAGTGCGATGGTGCTGAGTCCTGTTGGAATGTCCAAGGTCTGCGGTCAAACCCTCCAGAATATTTTTGCGATAATATTCGGCTTTTATTCTGATTCATTCATTAAAATTAAAAAAAAAAAATAAAAATTATGGCGTTAGACTTTGTTGCAGTTCTTTATCTCACCCTGTAATGGTACGTCCCTTTTGTGGGTATTTTGATGATTCCAACGGCATTATTCAGCGAAATTGTTTCAAATTTGGTATTTGAAGTCCGTAATCGGTATTACAGCCTATGGCAGAAAATTGTATGTGCAGGTCCACGTCTTTGTATAGCTTTAATACACCCTCCAGAATATTTTCACGATAATATTCGCCATTTATTCTGATGGCACGGTCGATTAATACGAGCGAAGAACGACCATCTGCTGTTAAGGCGGCCCACACCATCACCATGGTCGGCGCTTGAGTTCTGATGGTCAACCAAAGTTGCACATTTTCAGCTGACCTCTTTGGCAAGTAAACACGATCATTTTTTTTACAAGCTGCTGGGCAATGAATGTTTTCTCGTCGGAGAAAACCAAATTCGGCAGTTCACCACTTTCGGCCAAGCGAAGCAACTCTTTAGCTCTATTGAATCTATTTTCTTTCTGTTGCCTTGTAATTTCTTGCGCTTTTTGGAATTTCAATAGCTTAATCCCGAGCTCATTTTTCAATATTTTCCGAATGGAATATTGCGATATGTTCAGCTCACGAGCCATTTTTCGGCCCCTGCGATCAAGCCGCTTCTTTTTAGTTTTCGAACCATTTCTGCTGATGTTGCTGTTTTCTTCCGTCCACTTCCTTGACATCGGGCTACGCTACCAGTATCATGGTAACGAGCGATGGTAATGGTAATGGTAAGAAATCACACTATCACGCTTGAATTCCATCACGAATAACAATTTTTTCTGGAAAATTCTCACCAAAATGCTTTTGTACGCTTGTAAACAGTATAATGAACTGTCATTCGAATAATTTTAACAGTTGTCGGACGAGTGGTTTAAAAATAACAGCAGTCTGTTGTTGGTTGCTGTTTTTTTCATCTCACCCTGCATTTACTATCATTTATTTTAAAATCCTGTTTAACCGTTAGTAGCGTACTCGCTCTCAAATGTACAGCCCGAACATCCACAAAATAATTTCATTCATAAAAAAGCCATTCAATAAATAAACTGGAAAAAAGACGTTGGCGTACGTTTTGCAAATTAAAATTCACCAGCTAAATTGAAATTCATGACAGCAGCTAACAAAAAAAAAAGGAAACCAATGACAACGAGAACGAAATGAACAATTTTAGGATTTTCTAACATATATACATGCAAAGAGAAATTTCAATATTACTGATACTTTTCCAAAGTCAAATTACTAGGAATGAATTTAATATCCTGAATGATGAATATTAAACAATGACTCCCAGAAGGAGTATTCAAAAAAAGATACGATCTACGATCACGGCCAATTGGGAGAACGTGACAAAAAGACAGGCGTTGAAAGTGAATAAAGTTCAATCTGTAAAGGATCTCAGCAGAAAGCCATTGAAGGCTCTTGTGGTGTTTTAATGGCGATCAGAAAGGAGTATTTAAGAACAACCAGCAGTTTTCATTGTAGACCCCATAAAGTAACATATATACTATGATCAGCACAAAATTCTAAGTCGATTTAACGATGTCCGTCTGTCTGTTGAAATCACGATACGGCCCACATTATTTGACGAAGAGCTAAATTTGGCAGAATAATTTGTATTGTATCTAGGATAGTTGGTATTGAAAATGAGATATATCGGACCATATAAGAGTAACTCCCGATATTCGGTATTTCGATGATTTTTGCTACATTTTTCACGGTTTTGTCTCAAAGTTGGTATTTTTAGATCATAATTGGTTCTTGCACGTGTGGCGAAATATTGTATGTCTAGGTACACGTTTTGGTATAGCCCTTATATAACGGTACCTCCCGATATTCCGTATCTCGATGTTTTTTGCCACATTTTTTCACGGATTTGTCTAAATTAATGTTTGTAGGTCTAATGGGTACTATCTCCGATGGCGAAACATTGTATGTATAGGTCCACGTTTTTGTATAACCTCCATATAACGGTACCTCCCGATATTCGAAAAGTGGTATTTGTTCGTAATGGGTACTAGCTCCGGTGGCGAAACATTGTATGTATAAGTCCACGTTTTGGTATAGCCCCATATATCGGCTTCACTCACTTTATGTTTGGAGATCTCAGTCGCATTTTGGTCTTCTCTCGAAAGTATTGTTTTTTATATCCCTGACCATACTATGGAGGATATATTAATTTTATTATTCCCTTTGTAACTCCTCGAAATACCCAACAAATTCTAAGTCGATTTGGCGATGTCCGTCTGTCTGTTGTATGACCCATTACAACGTTCTACGTTTTCGTATAGCCCCCATATAACGGTAACTCCCTATATTCGGTATTTTGAAGATATAAGCGACATTATCCACCGGAATTGCTTCAAATTTCATATTAGAGGATCTTTATGAGCACTACAATCTATGACAAAAAATTACTTATGCAGGTCAATGTCTTATAGTGTATAGCCCCCATATAACGGAACTTCCCAATATTCGGTATTTTGATGGTTTTAGCGATATTATTGACCGGAATTTTTTTTGAATAAAATGACATTTACCGATTAAAACCTTAATTTATCACATTCTAGATTCTAATTTAAATCGATAGTATTTAGAACTATTCGGGTACAACAAATTCAAATTCGGACAATAATCTGACCTTATAAGATAATGTCTCTTACTTTTAGGATTTCGTACTTTCGGCATTTCTCACCCATTTGGTAAACATCAATTTTTTTTTACAAAAATGTCTAAAAATGTCGGAATAGCATTTCTGTGTTCGCTCCATATCGCCGATCTTCTAAAACTTAGATCTTACCGATGTGCCATTTTATAACTTTAAATATAACCTTATGCCCTTTTCGTGTTCATTCCGAAAAAAGTTTCCTTCGAAATATCAATGTTGTAGCTCTGACTAATCGCTCAATAATATTGAAACACCACTTCCTGCCTGTTAGTACTGTTCGCCACCTTAAGGTATAGGTGCATTTAAGTACTTATCGTACCGTACGATCGTGGCAGTGACTTTATGAATGCCAACAACAGCCGAATAAACAAGGAAAAATCTGAACCTTACCCACATTAATATTCTCACCTTATTTTAATTGCAATTAGTGATAAATTTTGTGTTTAACAAGATTTTTCCATTTCATTTAGTCGTAATGTAAACCGATTAATTATCTTGTCACAGCAGTCGTTCGTGGATGATTGTACACAACCAAAATCAGTCTGTTGTACAAGTATTCAAATCACCCACGAAAATCAATGAATTTGTCAATAATATTTGAATTGAATTGAAAATGAATGAGCAGCAAGGTCAGTCAGCGCAAGTGAATTTAGACCCGTTTTCAAAAAATCTCAATAGAATACATATAATACAGAAAAATACACAAATTAAATATTCGAATTTCGAGGACAACTTACCAATGAGTAATTGTTGTTGTTGCTGCTGCTGCTGCTGCCGTTCATCACCATAAACATGCCACGTTGAGGTTGTGACCAGCAGACAAATTATGGCATTCAATTGCAGGCGGGATTCCATGATTAGTAAGAATTTATATTTAGTGTGGTTTTAGATTTTTTGTTTTATTTATTTTTTTTAATTGCAGGATTTTCTTTGTAATGGGGTTTGAGGCTTCTTATTAATTATCTGCAACAATGTCCTTTAAAAATTCTTTTTCACATCAATGTATTTAATCTTTTTACAATTATGTTTAATAATATTTTGTTTTTGTTGTCTTTCCCGATTATCCATTATCAATGAGTTTATCCAAATTCGGCATAATTTTTATTGTCATTACTTAGGCTTAGGCATTTTTCAATGGCGAGTCATACAAAGGCACAATGGGTAAATCTGCAAAGAAATATATATATTTATTTATTTATATATTTATTTAATTTAGTTAAGGATTTTTAAGGACAATTAAAACAAGTAAGCAAAGGCTACAGTTGAGCGGGGCCGACCGTTCAATACCCTACAACACTATAATAAACGATACAGTTTATATAGGCGAGATACTTAAACTAATTTGCTCATTTCCAATTTATTGGTAGATGTTGCACTTAAATGGTCTTCCTAGATCTGGAACCAATATTTCCCAAAGACCTATAATCTCTCAGAAGTGGCAAAAGATTAAGATTTATTATTGGTTTTTGACTGAAACGCATCTATATGAGATACAGACATTTGACTATATTCTTCAACGAAATCAGCGTTAACGAAAAAGTCAGAAGTGCGTCTTTCCTGTATTTGTGAATTCTCCAAAAGTCACAGGAATGGACATTTTCGTATTTTGTCTACAAAAGTTGGCAAACTCCTTTACACATTGAATATTTTTGGATGGCCATCCAAAACTGCTTGGCTTTTGCAATTTCCGGTAACCCCCATTCAAATGTGCGTGAGAACCGGGCGATAATTACGACCTGCTGACAATTTTGCAGTTTTTGGTCCATTTCAACCCCTAAATATATGGCGATCATCTCCAAAAAGAGTAGGCTTCTATTCTGACCCTCATCTTATCCCCATGCAAAATTTCGTAAGGATCGGACCATAAATGCGATCTGTATATGATATCCGGATATCCTAACTACTTAGTTTTGTTAGCTGTAGAAATATTACCAAATGTTTAATTCAAAATGAAAATATGCCAAAAATGTGACAAAATAGAAAAAATATGAGAAAATGTAAAAAATCAATATTTTCATATTTAGAGAGATATTTTTATGCGATTTTTTAGACGTTTTTTCTTTCCTGCCAAGAGGCCATTCTGAATTAATGAGAACTGTCGAAATCAGTTCAGCCGTTCTCGACATATATGAGATCTTTCAAGCATATCTTGTTTGATAGACATATATATCGCACATATTTTGCTATATATCCGATTTGTTGGATGTTAACATCAATGTAAAGATCAGAAGTAACCTTGACATGGCTTTGTGATTTCGACGGGATTTAAAATATTCACGGTTTAATGAAAAATTTTGAATTTTTTCAACACAAAAGATATGGTCTATTTTACCCGCTAAATATTATCCGATGACCACGCAAATTGGTAGGCTTCTTCCCCGCCCTAAACTCTAGATACATGCGAAATTCCGCGTCGATTGGTCTATAATTGCGACCTGTATAGCTACTGCAAAATCCGACATTTTTTCAGTATTTGGTCCATTTCAACCCCTTAACATTTGGCGATCATCTCCAAAAGAAATAGGCTTCTATTCTGACCCTAACCCCACCTTCGTGCAAAATTTCGTAAGGATCGGGCCATAATTGCGACCTGTAGCGTGATTACAAATTTACATGGACAGACGGACATACATAGCTAGATCGACTCAGCTCGGCGAGCTAGGAAGATACATATATACTTACCTATATGGGAAACCAATATTTCGAGGTGTTACATAATTTTTGGCCCAATCAAACTTATAATACCCCCAACACATAGTGTTGTAGGGTATAAATATATATTTTATTGTAAAGCAATCGGAGCCGGCTGCCACCGGAGCTAGAACCCATTATGACCTACAAATACCAATTCATAGACAAATCCTTGAAGAATGTGGCGAAAACCTTCTAAATACCGAATATCGGGAGGTACCGTTATATGGCGGTTATTCCAAAACGTGGACTGATATATCTCATTTTCAATACTATACATCCTATACACAATACAAATTGTTCTGGCGAATTTTTAAGCTCAAATAATGCAGGCTGTATCGTGACAGACACAGCCGGACATCGTTAAATCGACGTAGAATTTTATGAATATATATACACTTTATGGGGTCTATGACGAATATTTAGGAATGTCACAAACGGAGTGACAAAGTTAATATACCCTCCATTTCAAAGTGAAGGGTATAAAAATATGGATTGTATGAATTTTGACAAGAACTTTGTGTGCAGAACTGGGTATGTATGTATTTATACATAACACTGAACCGACCCCAACCAAAACCAGGGTTCGAGTCGTCCGCAAAAAAAACATTTCAAAAACCGAAACATGGTTCAAAAGTAGGGTGAACCACTGAACCGAACCATCTCAAATCGACAAGTTGTTTTACAGCTCTGGAAATGGAGAGAATATTATTTCAAAATTTTTACAATGATCTTTCGAGTTTACAATGGGGACACAATCGTTATTTTTTAGAAGGATCTTTTATAATCTGTTATAATCGAATTATAATCTCGAGCCAGCCAAGTTATAATCGAAGATCTTCCATGTTCTTCTAAATAGATCTGAGGATCTTCTACGTTTTTGTAAATGGGTCTCTTAGTGCATTCTTAGGATGATCTTTTTTCGGCATAATAAAGGAATATCAGAAGTATTTTTTTAGGGAAATAATCGCCGCTTTTAAAAAGTATAATATAATCATACATTTAAGACCCAACAATGTATTTATATTCTTGATCAGCGTAAAGTTCTAAGACGATTTAGCCTTGTCTGTCCGGTCCGTCTGTTCTAATCACACTAGAGTCAAAACAAATTAAGACAGGTAGCTAAAATTATGCATAGATCAGTCTTTTTTCTGCTGACAGGTTCGAAGATGAGCTATATCGGTTCACGATATCCTATAAGCCTCATATAACGGTAACCCCCGATATTCGGTATTTCGATGATTTTAGCCAAAATTTTCAATGAAATTGTCTGAAAATATACACAAGAAGTTGCTCCTAAACACAATTTTCTATATAGGTCCACGAAATCGTAGATCCCCATATAAAGGTACCTCCTGATATTCGGTATTTTCATGATTTTCGCCACATTTTTCCATGGAATTGCCTCAATAACCACACAAAGGGTTCCATCTGAGTACTTTGAGAAGAGAATTGTCAACATAGCCCCCATGAAACGTTACCCCTCAATATTCGGTATTTTGATGATTTTTGCCACATTTTTCAATGGAATTGCCTCAAAATCCACACAAAGTGTTCCTTCAGAGTAATTTACCCCCTGGAAGACAATTGTCCACGATATCTTATATCCCCCATATAATGGTACCCCCGATATTCGGCATTTTGATAATTCCAGCGACATTTTTGACCAGAATTGTTTCAAATTTCGCATTTATAGTTTGAAGTCCGTAATGAGTATTACAAACTATGGCAGAAAATTGTCTATGCAGGTCCACGTCTTCGTATAGCCCATGGTACAATAGAAAGGTAAGGAAGAGCTAACAGCTGATTACAATTTTTTTCTAATTGCGCCCGACTTCTGACAATTTTGTGTGCCTATTTATTGTTTTGAAAAATAAAAAATATTTATATTTTTAAAACCAATAATTGGAAGACACGTTCATTGCAGCTCGCGCTTTAAAGCTATTAACCAGTTTAGCCACGAAATTGAAAGACTGAACAGCTTGGATCATATTTTTGAGAGAAAATCCAAGTATTTCATTCATTTTTCACGATTATTAACTCATTTTAAAAATAAAAAGAAAAATATGAAAAAAAGGAAAACAACTTGTTGTATATAATTTTTAATAAGTTTGGCAGAAAGCAGGCATAGCCCCAGGGCTGTATTTCTGTAGTTTTACGAAGCTGTTCTACCTACTTGTGGTACCATGGCCCATATATAACAGTAGCTCCTTTATTCGGTATTTTGATGATATAAGCGACGTAATTCAACGGAATTTTTTTAAATATCGTATTTTATGTTCTGAATCGGTACTACAGCCTATGGAAAAAATTCAAAAGTAGGGTGAACCACTGAACCGAACCATCTGAAATCGACAAGTTGTTTTACAGCTCTGGAAATGAAGAGAATATTATTTCATAATTTTTACGATGATCTTTCGAGTTTACAATGGGGGCACAATCGTTAATTTTTAGAAGGATCTGTTAAAATCTGTTATAATCGAAATTTAATCTCGAGCCAGCCAAGTTATAATCGAAGATCTTCCATGTTCTTCTAGATAGATCTGATGATCTTCCACGTTTTTGTAAATGGGTCTCTTAGTGCATTCTTAGGATGATCTTTGTTCGGCAATAAATATCGGAAATAATCGCCACTTTTAAAAAGTATAAGATAATCTTACACTTAAGACCTAACAATGTGTATATTTTTGATCAGCGTAAAGTTCTACGACGATTTAGCCTTGTCCGTCCGGTCCGTCTGTTCCAATCACACTAGAGTCAAAACGAATTAAGACAGGTAGCTAAAATTTTGCACAGATCAGTCTTTTGTCTGCTGACAGGTTTGAATATGAGCTATATCGGTCCACGATATCCTATAAGCCTCATATAACGGTAACCCCCTATATTCGGTATTTCGATGATATTAGCCAAAATTGTTAATGAAATTGTCTAAAAATATACACAAGGAGTTGCTCCCGAACACAATTTTCTATATAGGTCCACGAAATCGTATATCCCCATAGGTACTTTGCCCGTCAACACCACCCCCCCCCCCCCCTTGGAAGAGAACTGTCAACATAGGTCCACAATATCGCATAGCCCCCATGAAACGTTACCCCTCAATATTCGGTATTTTGATAATTTTTGACACATTTTTCAATGGAATTGCCTCAAAATCCACACAAAGTGTTCCTTCAGAGTAATTTACCCCCTGGAAGACAATTGTCCACGATATCGTATATCACCCATATAAAGGTAGCCCCGATATTCGGCATTTTCATGATTCCAGCGACATTTTTGACCAGAATTGTATCAAATTTCGCATTTATAGTTTGAAGTCCGTAATGAGTATTACAAACTATGACAGAAAATTGTCTATGCAGGTCCACGTCTTCGTATAGCCCATGGTACAATAGAAAGGTAAGGAAGAGCTAACAGCTGATTACAATTTTTTTCTAATTGCGCCCGACTTTTGCCAATATATATATATATATATA